CGTTGCCTCTGCAGCAACGACGGGGGGCAGACGGCACCACAGTGACAGTATTGAGGGGGAACCGACTTTTAAGCTGGTCCCCCCAGCACTAGTTTCTGCTTCCTCCTCCCTCTGGCTGCCTCTGATATAGAGGTGGCAAGGGGGTATGTGGAATGCGAGTAGTTGAATTGACTACCCAATAAGCCTAGACTTATCAGGTAGTCAACTAGTCCATTACTCGCTTATATCCCTAGTTGGGGTAGGAGGGAAATGGGGACAATGCTGGTGTGGGGTCCAGTGCTGGGGGTGGGGTGCCCTGAGCCTCACGGGCTGGATCCAGGCAAGCCAGTGGCCGAATCCAGCCCGTGCCTTAGGTTCCCTACTCCTGACCTAAGGACTGAGTCCTGGAGAACCCTCTCTGAATGGGCAGTGAAGGAACAGGCTGAGGTCTACAGTAGAATTTCTACATTACACAGCTGTATTGATATAGCTGTGCCACTGTAGTGTTGCTACTGCACGTTGTATGCCAATGGGATAGAGCTCCTCTGTCAATGTCATTAATCCATCTCCCTGAGCAGCAGTAGCTATGCCTCTGGGAGAGCTTCTCCTGCTGACAGTGCTGTGTACACCGGCACTTAGGTCAGTGAGACTTAGTGCTTAGAGGGTGGCTTTTCCAAATCCCTTATTTAGTTACACCAAAATAAGTGCTACTGTATGTGACCCGAGACATAGGAGATTCAGGAGCAATGAGGATGGAGTATTAAGAAGGGCATGATCAAAAGTAGGGATGTGAATGCATAACCTTAACAGTGGGGTTAATGGTTAACCATTACCTGGGAGCAGGCCCCTGGCCGAGGCCTGCTCCAACCCAGTTGTGACAAATGCAGGGGCGCTAACCCTCCCCTGTTAAATCGTTAATCGGTTAAACTTAACATTTAACGAGTTAACTAATTAAATGGCATTTTACATCCCTGATCAAAAGCAACAGAAAGGTATAAAGAGTAGAACTAAAGACGTGAGGTTTGGGGAGGGGCGAGATTAGTAGATCATTTCAGTAGAATGGAGAAGAAAAAAATACTGAAAGGGCTGAAATAAAGAGCTGAAGGGGGGGATTATATACAGCAGTTGTAGGCTGCATTGCTGAAAAGTTGAGGTGACTAGGAGAGAGAGGGTGAAGCTCTTGGAGAGAAACTCTTGTGGGATGTGTGGTGGTGTTTGAGGATTGTAGAGAATAGTGTGGGCTTGCATTGTAAAAGGAATCAAAGGGCAATGAAAAGCTAAAAAAAGGTTTAGGAAGGGAATGAGAATGGAGTAGTGCAATAGAAGTGATTGGTATGGGCTCACGGGAAATTAGGGTTAGTGCCGGCAGGGGAGTAAAATACATGTTACTAAAAAACCAGATTTTTAAACAGAAAATAAAAATCTCTTCAGTTACTTAGATCTCACCATTATGTTGTCTTTTCAACTTCATTCATGATAATGTCTTCAAGAGCAAACAGAACCTTAATTTCCAAGGTAAAGTCACCTCAGAAAAAAATACTTCAATTTTTTTAAGGGGTGAGGGCTTGGAATCTTTGAGCTTCCCCCTTTTTGCTTCTAATGAAATGATTTAAAAAATGGACATAAATGCGCTTTTCCTTAATGTGTCTTGAAACCATTTTTTAAGTTGGATTTTGGCTTTTTTTTATTACTTTGCCTTAGCGGTGTTAAAATTTGCACCAGAGTGGGGGCATGCACCTTTGATTTTACAACATCAGGTGCTAAAAAGTCAGCCTTAATAATTTTGACCTTGTCTCCTAGTGTAGACATGCCCTTGGTTTCATGTACTTCACTGAACCTCCAAGAATTGTACGTGACTTGATCTTAAGTTGCTTGTTAGATTCCTGCAAGTTTGTTTCATGGGTATTTTTCTCAATCGACTAAATACCATAGGTCATTAGTTCCCAACCTTTTTAATACCATGAACTGGCAAACCCCTTCACAAACTTTTGGCAGACAGGTAGCATTTTATATGCAAATAATAAATATGCAAATAAAATGTTGTTGGTCTGCCAAGGGGCCACTGCAGCAGCCACCCATCACATGTTGGCTGCTGGAACTGAAGCTGGCTGCTCTGGGGTGGCTCCGGGGCCAGGGTATGCCCCGGCCGCCAAACCCACCACAAACAGCTGCCTCAGGTACAGCAGCCATCTACCATGTGGCAGCTGCTGAAGCTGGCTGCTGTGCAACAGCTCAGAGGGCCCCGGGGTGTACCCCAGCTCTGTCTCCCTGAGCTGCTGCAAAGAGCTGGCTTCAGCTCTGGCAGGGCCCAGCAGTTTGCAGCCATAGGTGATTGATATGAGTTCAGCCACATTTTCAGTAAAGGAACTGGGGAAGTAGGAATACAGTAACAGCAGTCAGTGTATGTAAAATGCAGCTGTATCAGGGGAGCCAGAGATAAGAGTTTAGTTTGATTTTATTAGAAAGTCTCAGATGGTTTACTTCCTGTGAAACATGCTATTCATAATACAAAAGCTGCCCATCTCCCTTGCTCCCGTTTCTCAGCAAGGCATCCATCATATTACATTAAAAATAAAAGCGGCGAGGAGTCCTGTGGCACCTTATAGACTAACCAAAGTGTTGGAGCATAAGCTTTCGTGGGCAAAGACCCACTTCGTCAGATGCATGTAGTGGAAATTATCATTAAATGTAAATTATCTTCTATAGATTTATTCCCTTTGTCTCCGATGTAAAGAACTGTAGTTTACTGTAGCTTGTGTAATACTTCCTTGAAACTAGGGTTGATGCCTCTGTCTGAAAGCAGAGTACCTAAAAATACAATTTCTCTTAAAGGCTCTGGGGGTTTCCAGCCAAAATGACCGAGCCACAATAAAGAAGAAAATTAAGGATATTAAAAAAACACAAGAGAAACTGGAAAAGCAGAAAGAAAAAGTTCAAAAGAAGGAAAGAGAAGTTCGCAAGAGTGGCAGAGTGGTTGCTGCCATAGAATCAAGCTGCTAAAATGATGTAGTTTTATTTTAGTACAGACTTACTTCACCTTGAAGAAGTGAAACAAAAATTGTACATAATTGTACAATTGAGGAGGGAAAGTGCAACAGTTTAACATGGTAGGTTATTTACTTTAATGTCTGTAGTACCTCCTCATTACATGTTCCATTAAAATGAAATGTTTTCAATATTTTATATCTAGTTGACTCTGCCTGTACTAATAGTCAATAATTTAACTTTCTGCCTTAAGTACTGTGCGTGTGTCTAAGACTGCTATATAAAAACACCATATCCCTGAAATATCCATTGAAACTTGTATGTTTGTAGAAAGTGGGATATGAGGTGTGGGAGGGTGGGAAGTATTCATTCAGATATTAGCCAACTCTTGCAGTTGACAAACTATAAATACTCAGTTTAACTGGGTACATGATCAATAGAAAATCCTACCATCAAATTCAGTGTGACACTGTTTATCTGTTGCCACTAATGTTGTATAATAAAAAAAAATTAAGAAAACAGCAATTTCAAATTTATTTAAAAAGAACAAAGCATGTTATTTCAAATGTAATGAATTGTTTTCTTTAAAATCTTGTGTTTTCCTGGTAGTCCATTTTTAATTCAGAATGTACTGTAATATATGCTGATTTTTGAATTTCTTGTGTTGCAACTTACTGAAAAATGTATAAGTAGTATTCACAAACTACTTATGTGAAAGTATAACACTATATTCTCTTTGCAAGCTACTATGGGGTGTTGGAACAGGGTGTAAACATAAATAAAAAGTTCATTTTTGCATAGTTTTCCTAAATAATATAGTTTTATAGTTTTATGCTATAAATAAGATCCATTTGCAATTAGTATTTCTCTTTTCTACTCGCTACAAGATTTTTGGGGACCAAATCTATATATTTGCTAATTTTTAACCATACTGTTTTTCCATACTTAAGACAGAGATAATAAATGTTTTCTACAATTTTCAAGAAAGCACTGGGTTACTGCATTGTATTTAATTGTTCAATTGTAGATGACAGACTTTCTTTTTAAAGGAGGATTTGATTCTTGAAATAGTTTAGAACATGGTTTGATATGTGTTCTTGTGTAATTACATAATAGCTTCTAGAAATTACAAAAGCACATCCTTAATTAGATTTCAGAAGAATAATGGATTAAAAATACTAATTCCATCATGGAGTGGAGCAGAAAATTACAAAGTCTTAGCATTCTGAATTTCTAGTTAAAATATTTCAATTATGTGGACCAAGTTCTCCTTTAAAAATATGAATTAGTTTTTCATTTTTTATTTAAATGATCATTTCAATGTCTGACATTTCTCAAGTGTTTAAAATATGGAAAAAATTTCTGGAATTCAGAAGAGGTAAGATCTGTGGAAATGCACATTCATTCTCATTTTCAAATAAAATTTAAAAATACATGTCTATTAAATGTCTTCTCTATTTATTTTAGTGTTTTTAATTAAGAAAACATATTGCTTTGCTTAACTTTAATTCCTAAGAAATTAGATTATCCTTGACATCTAGTCAATCAATTTCCAGAGGTTGAGTGATCAAGAAGTGATTTGTTGCTGGCAAAGGAGGACAATATGTCTACTGGAACAGGTTGGTCAGAATTCTAGGGTGGTACAAGACTGCAATGCCTGGCATTGTTTCCATCTCACCCTGGATTCCCTCCCCCTTGTGTATGTGAGGAATAAGTGAAGGGCTGGCTGATCAATGGAATGGAGGTGGTTGTTGTGTCCTAAGGTTTTGTCTTCTGCCAGCTTCTGCACCATGTTTGACGATACCTAAATAGTAGTTTCAAAAGCCTGTCTCTGCAGTGCTGTGGCAGTTGAACAGGAGCAGAGAGGTACAGATGAAGTGACTGGTTGTGGTGCATGTGGAGTCTTTGAAAGAGAGCCTCCCTCCTCGGCAGAAGAATACTGACTACTTCAGCCTCTAGCACCTGAAAGGGATGGATAACTCCTTGGAACTTTTCAGGCCCCAATCACCCAAAGAATAAGACAGCTGAAAGTTTGATTTTTATAAATTGCATCAATGGACATATTTATTGCTTCAATATGATAAAAAATTACCTTGCAGTTTCACTTTGCCACACACAAGCAAAAATTCAAATATAAATATATAGCTGAATCCCAGTGTTTCAAGAGAACTATCCATTTCACCTTAGTTGCAGCCAGTTCATTTTTCTGTTGATACTTGACAACCATCTCACTGATTATTTTTTCAGCAATGAAGATGTGTGTATAAAATCAATGTTTTTAACCAGCTACTGTAGTGAAGTAAATCAAACAAAGTAAGTCAACCCTCATGTCTAGGGGTAAATACTACACATTCTGAAATTTACTAAACGGTTAATTTCCACCACAGTCAGTGGAGGAGGAAAAAAAAAAAGTATTAATCTACACTGGAATAGTTTAAGGGCCATGACTTGTTTTGATAATCAAAACTTAGGTTAAGCTATGGGTAGCCACGATATAAGCAAAGGTTTTTTTACATCAGTAATTCCACATGAAATCTTTTATTCTTTCAAAAGATTTTCATTACAGGCAAACTGTTACGATGCTTTGCCATAGAATGATTGGCCATATTTGTTCTTAAACGTTACTAAAATCGGTTTAATTGAATTCAAGTATAATTAAATATTTCAAAATTTTATACAAATTTTCCTGAAAAGTTCAAATATGTTAACATAAGCTTTGAAACTTTTTTCATTTTAAAAACCCATGCTGTTACTTTAAGCATTAGGTTGTCAAGAGTGACAGCTGCAGCCATTTAGCAAACACTCCCCTCCTTTATATAAAATTTGACCCCATTTTTTAAACTCTTTTCCTGCCCGGATTCAGTTATAGGAAATAAATATTGCCTTTTTGACACGTATTTACAATGGTGTTGGGCCTCACAAACAAAACTTAAGTTTGTAACAAACACTCCTCTGATGTAAGGGAGTATCTAGTCTCAATTTGCAGATGAGAATTCTCCTGATGTTATCCCATGCAAATAGGACTGTAACATACTTACTGTTCCAGTCTCTTTCCTTCTCTATTCAGTAATAAATCACGGGGTTGTGATCAGGCAGACCACCATCCTCTACTCTATTTTGATCTGGTAGAGTGCTAAACATAGGTCGTGCTTTCTGAGGTGGCACATCCACATCCCTCACCGATACAGGAATTAAGCATTGGTCATCTATGTTAGGCACTGGGACTGCAAGTGCTTCACTGTAGCATTCTGAGTTTTGGGGAAATGAGAATTGAGTGAGATGTATATCTATGACCTGGAGATTATATGGTCTTAAATAGCTGGTGTGGTCAACAGCAAAGCTGAAGGTATCAGCATGGTTGCATCCCTCACTAGAAAGGGAGCGGATAGACCTGAAATATTATAAGAAAAAAAAACAGTATATCAAAAACTGATATTTTGACATTAATTGCACTCTAGATAAACCTGAAAAGCTGGTTAACTGGGTAGACCCGTTGTCCAGCTATTTCAGTGATCTGCCCAGTAAAGAAACAAATTTTGCAATACCTTCTGCTTATTAACAGTAGTACTGGTGTCACCTAACAAATGATCCCCGAGCTCAAGGTTTCACCAGAGTGTCAAAATTACTCACTACTCACAAATGATATTTGGACATGACCTGTAAATCTTTATTATAAACCCTGAGAAGCTACTATTTCACATTAAGTATGCTATCTTCTGTCTGTCATGAATTTTCAATATAGTTCTCAGAAGACCTGTAACTATTAGATACCTACAACGCTTTATACCAAAAGCAGCATTTAGAGTGGATTTTCAAAAAGAGCTATTTTAAAAAATTATTTTCAGAGCTGAAATTGTATAGGCAAATACAACACAACTTAATAGTTTATAGCTGTTGCCTTGTTCCTCTGAGTGCATCTAATGCTGGTAGTACACACAAATTCACTGATTTCAGTAAATGAAACTACATGATTACCTACTGGAGCATCTGTACTTAAATTCAAATATTTGCTTCTAATTTTGCTAAATTTATTCAAGGTTGCAATACACTTTTGAGCTCCTTGGCTAGAAGATGGTTGAAAAGTGTGAAAGGTTGCCTGACTGAATTTATAAGTCTATTAATGCTTTAAATTACTTAATTGTTTCATCCATCAATGTTTAGATCATTTGAGAACTTCATCCACTGCTCAGTACAAATAACTGGTGTCTCTAGCTAGCTGGTATTTGAATAATGCTTTCATTAGCAGAGTTGTGTGATTTGTGCTATTCAAAGCAGCTGAGAAATAAGTTGCCATGGACCCTGTTTAAAATCTAGTTTTACTGCTCCTTAGTTCTAGGTAGGAAAGTAAACTGAAAATACAAAGTGGAACAAATTACAAGTGTATTTCCTAAACTGTATACTTTGCTTTAATTACTCAAGGTAGTATTATAAAACTGTTCTGGACTTCAACTTCCTATTATTCCCCACTAAAAACATTTCCACAAAGAATTTGAACCATATTTGGTGTAACCCAGCAAAGCAGTGTGTTTGCAAACAACAAAAGTATGTTTCCTGTTTCTGGATACTGGACAGTTATATACTGCGGAATGTGGTCATGTCCTTTGGTTCACTGCTTGGCACACACCAGTCATCTGCTTCATGGTTTTCCATATAATGTTTCCAAGCTGCCTTGTTATACACAGGGAGCCTTTCAATTGATTCTGTTGATAAAGCCTGTAAAGAGAACATAAGCTAGGTGGAGGACATTTTGCTGAGCATATTAAATTGTTTTATTTACATTACATTTTATATTAAGACTGCTACCCTAAGGTAATAAACTATACCTTTATGTAGATAACGGCATCTGTACCATAACCCTCTAAGGAATAGAGTTTCAGATCTCCTTGGAAGTACTGTGCATACAGACGTGATATAGGCAAACCATAACCAAACCCAGCCTGATAAAAGGGAAGACAGAAGAGAGAAAAAACACACTTGAGTTAACTGCATCATCTGCAAAAGAATTGCCAACATACCAGACCAATATCAGCTCTCCTTAAATTTAGAGACAATCCAAGTAAGGTCAACATATTGCTGAATACATGTTAGCTTTTGCAATCACATATAGCCGTGTTTCTCAAACTGTAGGTCCTGACCCCTCTGGGGGGTCGTAAGCAACTTAGAGGGGGCTCACAGTATCACAAAGTTTGAGAACCCCTGACATATAGGATCAGAAAGATGGTGAAGACTCTAAATCTTATTACTCTCCTCCATACTCTAAAGTTTCCATGTTTCCCTCCTTTCCTACTCATTTACCCAAAAATCATCTTAGCTTTTCAATGGAAGGGGAGTGCAGAGCCTAGACCCTGCATGGAGTGAACCCTCCCTCCAAAGGGTTACTATATAATGCAGTTGGTGCTAATGCAGCTATCCTAAGGCAAGAGCTCTAGTACAAGTATTCTGCCTTGCTGCAGAACATTGGATGATTTATATTCCTATGGAGGCACAATTCTAGTCTGGCTGCAAGAAGGCAGAGACTTAAACCAGAGATGTTAGGATTGCCAAGGACAGGGTAAGTGCATCAAGAAGCAACCCTCCTTAAATTTGCTTATGCCTATACTGTAAAAAAAGTCTGACAGGACAGGGGTCTGTCCTAAGTCATTAATGATACACTGAGCAAAAATTAGAAATAGGCCTTTAACTTAATCGCTGGTTAATTTGCACACTCTCTCTGCAACCGTTTAATTTGAATTAAGGAAACTTTCACTCATGTTGATGGCTTTATGCTGGTGTGAATTATCCAATTGTATATAGAAAATTGTTAATAAAATAGGCCAATATTTTGAATAATGGGGTGAGAGGGGTTCCAAGGCAGAATAATGTGATGGTAACATCAACTAGAAGTTAATAACAGTGGGTCCAATGCTACAGTCCTACCTTAAAGCATCCATTGAAGTAACTAGGTGTGTGAGAGGCCCACAGGAGCAAGCTCTTTATTAGCATGACCACGTCTCATATCGCTTTGTTCTTGTCAGGATTATACGACTGAAAACTGCAGTTATTTCACTCAAAATGACAAACAGGGACTTCATCCAAAAGAAGAGGCAGTTTTAAAACCAGAAGTTCCTAAAACCCTAAATTAAATTAATTACAATCCCTGAGTTAGTTTCCTTTTCTGCTATCCTTCCAGGACCAAAGTTTAGCAATCCTGTACTCTCTCAGAAACAGATAACGGTAACTCCTACCACAGTTCAAGGGATGTTGTTCATTATTCTCTCCTTTAGAGCTTGAAGAAGCAGAATTTTGGTAAATATTAAAAAATAGTGGTTTTCTTATTTATCTTTAAGGCTATAAATTCTGTTTAATGCTGAAAAAAAATTCTCAAACGCATTTTAATTAACACCAGAACTGCCAGATCACTTTTCCGCAAAGATACAGGTAGAGAACGAAGTAAATTCATAAAGACCAGAGGTGTTGCATGTGATGTCTCAACACGAGGACGTGGTGCAGTTGAATACATATAGTTGAACAGTACATCAATTTTTCTCATAGGAACGCCACCACCACGATCACTTATCTACAAAATGAATGAGCACAGAAATAACTTCAGGTTCCATTTAAAAGAGAACACACACAAGCTGATTTTCATAAAGAATAAAGTCCAAAACAAGTCTGAGGACTCTAGTGTCTCAACTTGTCCTTATCATATTATAAAGAAAACCCATCAGCTGATAAATCACAGCAATATATACACAAATCCCAGCTACACTAAAAATAGCATGTAGATGGTGATTTTAAGTTACAGCTTAAGATGGTGTTCAGTCTCTGAAGTCCACCTTTCACTAATCATTTTAGCGCAGCAGCACAACCCCCCTCTTGACATGGGTTGGGAGGCTCACATCCACATTCCCCATTTACATGTTTTTTCTGCTTTTTACTTCCTCACCCTCCTTCCAGTTTCTAATTTCTATGTGAAGGAAGTCAGGTTGAGTAAAAAAGTCAGCAATGGTCATTGAACTGTAGGATTCAGGTGCTAAGTTCTCAGTGCTTTAGCCAGCACTTAGGAAAGAGGATACATAGTGCAATGTGTATTAGTACTTATTTACTACTAGAGCAAATCTGAAGATTTAGTTCTACTTCTTATGTAAAGATAAATGTTAAGGAAAACCTACAACCAACCTTGGATACCCAACACGCCACAAAAGAGAAATGCTGCACTGAAAAGAGATATCTACAAGGCAAGGCCTACCTTAGTAGGTTTAACCTGCGCTGGACTTGCTTTATTCCACATCTGTGCTACACCTCTCTCAAGCAGTCACACAGGACAGCTGCTCTGGATAAACTACAAATTTGGCTATCTTCCATTCCTAAATTCACACTCTACCCTTGAACAGAAGCATGGTTTATATGTACATTATAGTAACAAAAGAATAAATATGTTGAAATGGTAAAAAGACATCTTCCATTCACATAAGACTTGACATCTTTATGATGTTCCCACACATAATTGACCCAAAGCCTGAAATCCCAGGCTTATTCCTCACACAATCCACTATAAGCACTGGTACAAGTTCCAGCTAGTGTCACATCACCAATTCATAGTAAAATATTCCCCACAGATTCTGAACTGTTTTCCATCAAAGTAATTAAACAGCAAACAAAGTAGTTACCTTCACAGTTAAGTCCTCATTGCCTAATGTGACATGTACTTGAATTGGAGGGTAAATGCTTCGATCAGTACAGTGTTCCATGGTGGCTCTCATTGCATTCTGAGATATTTCAAATTAAAATACAATAAAGAGTTTTAATCAAATCATAGATTTGACAGTAACTTTTAACTTATGCTATTGGCATGTCAACTTAGGAAAACAGGGAGATGTAGATCATGAGGTAACCTCATGCTAAGGGGCGAGGATCTGAATTCTTACAGAAACATCTTCTCTCCAAGGATTAATTAAGCCGCTGGAATTAAAATACCAGCAACTGTTAATGAAAAATAAAGTTTTACATTCTCTCTCAATGACCAGTCTTCTGCAATATCATAAATTCACTGTTTCTCTAGTCAATTTGAAAAAAAAATTAGTTTACAGGCATATGAAAGAGTGCAGCTTTAGTTCTGAATTGCTTCACTAGTTTCACTAAACTACAGCATGCACAGGTTCTATATGTTAGAAAAGACTCCGAAGAGATGTGGCCTGATGTGTAAGTCTTAGTATTCCTGTATGAACAATTGAGATAGAGGCCACATTTTCAAAGCCTCTGATTTTACACACAGTCATTTGTGTACAAATGATAAGATTTAGACCTCTATCTGATCTATGGGTGCAGTCTGAATCTTACAATTGCAGGTACAAATTTGCAAGCTGCTTTTTTTTTTAATTGGTTCAACATGCCAAATTAATACACATTTCAGTACACAAACATGTCATGCATATTGTGTGATCCTACTGCACAAACCTTGAAAAGCTCAAAAACCATGTGATAGAGATGAGATGGTACATACACTACTTGCATGGATTGTCCTGATGATTTTGCTGGAAAAGAAAGTAACCTAATTAATTGGACAACATAGTGGAGGCCTACTTTTAGTTTTGGCAACATTCAAGCAGTTCAAATAACAAATATAATCTGGTTTTGTTTTCTTTGTTTTCACTGATAAAGTACAGGGAAATGAAAAGAGAATTTGAATAGAAATCATGGAAACATTTGTTACTCTTGTGTTTGTCAAAACTCATTCAAAATCTATGTTCTTCCACAATTCTGAAAAGCTTGTTTTAACTTGTCTGAATTAATTTTAAAAGTTATTCCCACTACTACTAATGTTGCATTTGAGAATATATCTAAGCAATAACTTCAGTACAATGTGGTCTTGGATTAATTTGTCTATTTAAAGATCTGATGTATCCAAAAACCTCTAATAAATATTCTATTTGTAGATAATACTATTCATTTTGGTTTTGAAATCTCTCTTTGTTCTCATTCTTTAAAACAAACAAGTTATTAGTAATATTTCGTGGATTTTCCTCCCTTTTTTATCATTAATCCAGGACCAGGGTGTGGAAAAGTTTACTGGCTCTAAAAACATTTCCATCAGTTTACCAAGCTAATTACATTTGTAATAGTCTTTTCCATTTGGTAAACCACTGCAGTTAGAGATTAGTGCTGTTTGCTATCTGGGATTTCAAATATGGAAAATTATTTTTACCCTCGCAGATCAAATATATTGGATCTTAACATACACCACGTCTACACTTATCCCTCACTCAGGCTGCAGCACTATTTTACCTTTGATTAAAATTACTATAGGGGGCCTCAATTCTCAGCTTAGCCATGCAAATAATGGGTGAAGCATGCACAGTTGGCCCAGAATCTGGGAAGTGCAAAAGTGGCTTTGAACTACTGTTGTGCTTCCATCACTGGGCACTAAGTAAGTGTAAGATGCATTAGCTGCTATGGCCTTGTGGTACCTTTATAGTAGCTAAACATTCTTGAGATGCAGAAAATCACTTTGCACTAGTCACAAGGTGATGTTTAGAAGCTCTTCTCCACGGTAGGTTACCCCTACCCTGAGATGATCCTCTTGTAGCTGGCTGTCAGCTTTAGGTCCAGGATGTATTGCCAGAATGGGAACGGGGCAGTCATAATGCACAGGAGAATCTCAGCTAGCAAGTGTTGCACATAGAACATCAAGTCATTTATTCATCATCTGAAGTCTAAATCTTATCTTTGTGCTATCACGATTAGCTGTTGTAGAGACTGGGTTGTCAGAAACAAGATTATGGGACACTGAATGAGTGCCCTACAATTTCCAGGGAATAAGAAGCAGCTAAGTTATTACTAACAATATTTTCAAATAAGATAACTGGGAAAGGGAAATAACCATTTTTAAAAAGATAGTCTTGAAAATGTTTTATACAATAATTAATTACACTGCAGTTACAATTAGTGGTTTTAACCTATGTCCATACTTTATGAATTTAATGCCTGTAATTAACACTAATCATAAAACCAGCTGACTACATTAAAGCATAACTACAATATAGGAGGACCTAGCGTAAGTAGTGTACTTAAAATCTAAAAAATATAAATGCTAAGTATAAAATTAATAAGTAATTCAATCACATAATATAATAAACACAATTCTAGTTAATTAGTGCGAATGAGTTATCAAAAAGCATGAAGGGGTCAGAGCAGCAGAGTAAAGACAATGGACTTCAAAACAGATGATCAAACTTAGACTGGTAAATAAGATGCAATATGAAAAAAAATCTGAGGGGAAAAAAAAGAGTTCAGAGCTGGCAGTTTCCAAGAGAACAATATCAAAGGCACAACTGCAAACTATCCCGATGTAAAGGAAAGGTAAGAACAACACTAAGGCTGCATCTACACAGCACCCTGAACTCAAAATAAGAGATGCAATTTGCACTACGTAAATTGCGTATCTTATTTTGAAATTTTAAATTTGGTGCATTATACAGCGCCAAATTTTGAAATAATGCACAATTTCAAGCCATCCCTTAACCTTCATGCAATGAGGTTTACCACGATAGTGAAATATCACGTCTGTTATTTCGAAAAATACTTAAAAAAAAACAGGCGGCTTGTGTAGACGCAGGGTAGCTACACAAAATAGCTATGCAGCGTGGACGAACCCTAAGACAATAATAAGGCTCCATGAGGAGGTTTTAAGATCTGAAAAAAGTAGAAATATGGACAAATTGCCAAGGATGAGTACAAAAAAGCCCAGCACAAGCATGTAACAAAATTAGAAAGGCAAATGTTTAAAATGAGTTATACCTAACGTGAAAAGCACTAAGAGGAGATTCTTTAAATATATTAGGAGCATGAGAACAATGAAAAAAAATGTAGATCCTCCGCTTAGAGGGAAGAAGAGCTAAAACTGATGCTATCAAGAAGACTAAATATTCATTACCTATTTTATTTCAATATTCATAAAAAAATTAACAGTCACCAACTATTCAACACAATATCAACAAGGAGGAAAGAATGCAAGCCAAAACAGATAAAGAATAGGTGGAATATATCTAACTCATATTAATATTTTTTAAATTAACAATTTCTGATGAAATTCGCCCTAGGGTACTTAAACTAATTGAAGCAATCTTGGAATCATTAGTAATTATCTTTGAAAACTGGAGGACCATTGAGGTCCCAGAAGACTAGAGAAGGTCAAATATATCAGATGTCTTTAAAAATAAGAACAAAAAAGAACCTAGGGAATTATAGCCCAATCAATTTAAATTCAATACCTGGAAAGATACTGAAACAAATTTGTACACACCTGGGAATAGCAGGGTTATAAGTAATAGCCAAAAAGGATTTGACAAAAAAAATCATGCCAAACTAACCTAATGTCCTCCTTTCACAGGGTTACTGGCCTAGTGGATAAGGTAGCTGCAGTAGACCTGGTATATCTAGAGTTTTACAGCAGAACCTCAATTTTACAAATACCAACCTTATAGTTGACCTGTTATAAATAATTTTCCCCAAATGTGAAAAAAGTCATGTAATTAAAATTATGTTGATAAAAAACCATGTCAACATTCCTTTGCATTCCTGTGCATTTATTGCAATGCTGTGAGACCAGTGAATTTTCAACATTTTTGCATTTGCAAACCCCTAAAGTCTAATGGAGATCCAAGGGGAAATTTTAGACCCAGTCCATAGATCCAGGGTTGAAAATCACTTGTTCTATGATAATGTCAATCTTTCACAGATCTCTCACGCATAGTTTGCAGACCCCATGTTGAAAAATACTGTGTTGGAGCAAGCATTGAAAAACTAACAGAAAGCTTCCTCATTTGAAGCAGGATTCACAATTCCCACGTACACTTACCATTCAACTCTTTAAGCATAAGTTCTGGAGAGCTCATGTAATACAAATCACAAAGTCTCTTAGCATTTTCATAGCCATCTATAGGAAATCAAGACAGAAAAATGTAAACAACAAATACATATCCTTCCTCTTCTTTAAGATGTTTTGTAGTTTATTGAAAAGAATGTGAACTAAAAAACAAAAACATCCTGCACTCTTATTGCAGACCTTTTATATTTTCTCACAAAAACTGAAATATTGGTAGAACTATTAAATTTGAACTGGAGTTTTCTGCTCCACATAAGATTATTATTAAGATATAAGAAGAATCTGATGTATATTAGTTCTAAATTTTAATGTACTTTTTTTCAAAATTCTTGTTCAGATGGTCAGCCTGAATTTACCTTTAATAACTTCGACAACATTGCAGTTAGGATCAATGCTTCCAATGTGTTTGGGCTGAGCTGGATTAACTTTAATTTTCCCACCAAACAGCAAAGCTGCCAACAAAGAAAATAACATTTAATAGGCAATGCGATTTCACAATTTTCAGTTTTCATGTCTTCTGAATGGAAGCACTGCTGAATGGAAAAGAATGAGCATAGCTTATAATTTTGGCTATGACGACCTTAAAGAAAAATGGTTCATCTGCTTTGCTGATGGCCCCAAAAAATGCTTTGTAGGCACACTCAGGAGTTTCTAAGGGGATCAAGAAAATGCTGAAAGCAGCATATTTAACTAAATAATCAATACCTAAAGATAAGACATACCAACAGGTTCCCATTCATGATTTTCCCTTTTAACAGTGGTACTTACAGTGTTGATTGAGGAGCATTCTGATTGAAATGCGACTCATGTAGAAACGATCTAAAAAATACTGCACATTCTGACAGGTCACCGGATCAACACCAAAGCTTTCCTTGTATTCAGTCACACCCTGAGCCATTGTAGGAATGACATCATTGTGTCGGTTCCGGATTGTTATCACAGTATCTGTAAACCTAACATGAAAGAACTGTCAATTTTTCACTTTCAAGTGAATTTAACACTCATTAAATTCCTGTCAGCAAAGCCCACTCTTTACTGATATAGCACAGAACCATCTTAGCAGAAAAAGACAGATCCCTCTTTTGAGTCTCATTTAAACTGAAATTTCCAATAAGGGTGCCATATATAATAGGGGGTTTTATAGTTATTTTTCAATAAGAACTGGAGTGAGACCAACAATGTTTGCAGAGATCAAATGTGTGGCTGTCAGATAGCAACTACCTTCAGACACTGGTGACCTGACCTGGACTAAAAGTAAAAAGGTTGCACGTGCCATTTCCTAAACCACACCATTCTACTCACTCTCGACTTCTCCAGTTTCACAGAAACTGAGATTTTTGGAACACAATTATACTGTTGACAAATCAAACAAAAGGAAACATTCTTTTTTCTTGATTTAGTGAAAAACAGAGTCATGTTGTTGTTATGATTCATTACTAAAAGGTCAATGACATGAAAGTATGTCTACACAGCAGCTAGACACCCACAGGTGGCCCATGCCAGAAAACTCAGGTTCGCAGGGCTCAGGCTACGGAGCTGTTTTACTGCTGTGTAGATTTCCAGGCTTGGGATGGCTTTAGGGCCCCACAGACTGGAAGGTTCTTGGAACTGGCTCCCACACGAGCCTGGAAAGCTATACAGCCCAAGTCCCAAAGGCTGAATGAAATCTGCTGGCATGGCCAGATGCAGATGCCAAGTTGCTGAGCAGACATATCCTTAGAGATTTTGTTCATCTGAACCATCATTTTTCCAGTGTGTATAAATATATATATTTAAAAGAATGTTAAACACACTTACCTATGAATAATTTGTGAATCTTCTGCACTTTTATCCTTAAAGTCAAGGATTTCCTGAAGACTCTGGACATACCTAAAATATAAATCCTGTGTGCTAGATTTTTACCATGATATTCCATTCAAATCCTTCTATTTTGTGAAGACATTAACAATTTTCTTTTAAACATTTCTTTAGTTTATAATCAAGAACCATAGCATGGACTCAAAACAGTCATGTTATAGGTATGGTTAAAGAGGTATTTTCATTATCAGTTCCTGCTTTTGGGCACTTTCAACTTCCAAATTAATTTCTGGTAAGCTGAAAATACCTTGGCTTATTCTCCTGCCATCATCTGATGAAGTGAGTTTTTTAGTTTGCTAAAAGACCTCCCAGGAGGGCTCTTGTACATTTCAAAAGCAAAGTGTGGGGTCAGCAGGGGATTCGAACAGTCCCCCTCTGGCCCTGCGCTCCCGATGGCAGTTTGCTTTTGAAATGTTCAAAAGTAGGGAGCACGGGGCTAGCAGGGGACTGTTTGAGTCCCCAGCTCACCCCAGGCTTCCCGCAGCGCTTCTGCTTTTAAACTGTAGCAAGAGCCCTTCTCTTGCTTCATTTCAAAGGTAGAAGCGCCACCAGTTCCCTGCTGTGTTCCCGCTTCTCTCCCCATGGAGATGGTGCTGGTGGGGGAGGGAGGGAACCAGATTTTAAACCAGCTCCCCCCAGCACCAGATCCTGCTTCCCCACTTCTGCCTCTCTCTGATAGAAGCAGCAAGTGAGGGTAGGGGGGAGCGACTAGTCGAATCCCTAGTCAACTATCCGATAAACATTTGCTTATCGGATAATCGACTAGTCACTTACATCCCTAGTTTCGAGGTCAGGGTCAGGTTATAATCAGCAAGCTGCATGATCCTCAGATCAACACTGGTACTTCCGATAAAAGGGAGTCTGCTCAGTTAGAAAGAGAGAGATATTCATATTACAGGAATACTCATATAACAGAGCTAGAGAACATTTGAGAAAGGATTTTCTGTATAAGCAAGATGGGCAAATGACTTGAGCTATTTGCCATGAGGGGATGGGACCTTAATAAGTCTTCAGGAAACACTAGGCTGCAGGGAGGACCGCTAACACCCAGCCAGAGGCTGAAAACTGTAGAGTAGGCCAGAACCCATAAAGCAGGGCTGGGCAAAAGGGCCTCCACAGGCCAGATCTGGCCCGCCAAGCAGGTTGATCTGTCCCACAGAGGTCCTGCTGCTCCCCCACCCCCAGGCCAATCAGGACAGCTGACGATTCAGAACAGCTGTTAGTTCTCTTTGTGGAAGGGTGGGGGTAAGACTTCCATGCGCTCCCCCACCCACAGACTAATCCAGGTCTGTGGGTGAGGAAGCATCCTGCCCCTGCCCCTTCCACTTGAGGCTCCGCCCCTTCCGGGGCCACTTCAAAAATTTCCAATGTGGCCCCCAGTAAAAAATTATTGCCCATCCCTGCCATAAAGGGATGATGTTTGCTAAATGAGAGTCTATGTGTAGTTTGAGAGTGGAATTCTAAACAGGAAAACAGGCAGTGGGTGAGTCCAAAGCCAAAACAAATAAGCCCCAGCCAAATGTATGTATTTGATATGGTAAATGCTGTGATTTATTTTAAGTGATATATTGGAGAAAATGAGCTAATCTCTGAAAGTTTTTAAATCAGTATTTAAATGTGACAGTAAAACAAAAACGTTACTGCCTAAGGAAAGTAGTCCTATAGAGAATTCAAAAAAAGGTGTGAGTAACAAACCTAAAAATGGAAAAACCTTCCGAATTGCACTATGTATTTAATCTCACTGCTAGTGCATGATTGTTCAGTATAGCAATGGTAACTCTCTAAAAAATGTCTTGCAAAATTAATTATTAGTAATCATGACTGACTGGGCCAACATTTGTTAAAATCAGACTTAACAAAATCCAATATTTTCATGATTTATGTAATCGAAATAGATCCATTTTGCAGATCATTGAAGGCTCCAAGATCTTAAAGGGAGAGGGAGGCAAGAATCTGACATCCTTTCTGTCCAAGAAGTGAGAACAGAGACAACAGAAGATAGAAGCATATAAAAAAAACTTATAAGCAAGTAATTATACATCATACTTATATTCTTATACCAATACCAAAATACAGTAAAAATCCATTGGTCCGGCATCCAATGCTCCAGCACTCCTGATGGTCTGGCACCATCAGGAATCCAGAAGTGCTCCGGCTGCTGGACAATTGGAGCTGCTCTGCACCCAGCTTCCCCGATTCAGCCACTGCTGAAACTGACCAGCAGCTGAATCGGGGAAGCCGGGGGAAGAGCAGCGGGGGGGGTGGCGCGGGGG